CTAAGATTCTCATTAAATATACATCTGAAATATAAACACTATTTTCCAGAGAGTTTTAAAAATCAACTCTTGCACATGAACTTCTCTAAATTTTCAAAATAAGAGAATTGATACCACTTTTATACAAGTACATGGATTTTTTTTTATCGATCTCTTGTTGGAGTTAGACAAAGATTAATAACATTTATGCAATATAGTCAACACAACCTCCATGGAAACATTATCAATTCCACTTATAGACCAATTATTTGCTACTCTACGAGAATAATTTTTATTTTTCAGAGTCATGATATGATCTTTGAGGAAGAATCACTCAAATTTAAAAATTCACCTTAAAAGTACTGGTCTTTGTTTCCTTTAATTTGAAATAACAGGAGGTTTACGCTTGAAAATACAAAAGCAAATTAGATGTTTTTTCTTAAAAAGTATATGAGAAACATTATTTAAAAGGAAAAGGTCAAACACACACCATTTAGCTTCTTCAACCTGCGTTTCTGTCCTTCACATGAAAGTGCAAAGGCAAATATGCATTCAAAGGCCTTAACTGAACAGAGACTATGGGAATTCATGGGCTATGAACAGAGAAAAGGAACCTTTTTTTTTTTTTAAAGTTCATAGGGGCACTATGAGACATCTATGACTCGACGGCACCTAACAACGATAACAACGATGACAGAGAGAGCTACATTGGCCTAGTGGAAAGTTATGCTACCAAGCCCAAGGTGGGTGATTTTAATCTGTGGCCCTCAGCTGGGTTCAAATTGTTTTCCTGTCAGACATTCTTCTAGGTGGTATAGCACTGGTCTGTGCATAGGTAACTCGTGGTTGCTGTGATGCTGAACACTGTGACACTGATGTGCTAGTCGTGGTAATGGGCACCCGTGGTGGACAGTGTGGGCTGGAGATTCCAGACTAGATCAAGCCTGGAAGCAGGAGCGGCATCCACTTCCGAAATGGCTTGCCTCCGGAAACTCTATGTACGAACAGTTCTCAGGCCTTTCGTTCATACGGTCGCTGAGTCGTCTACGACTCGATGGCACCAAACAACTAATTATCAAAGAAATAGGATTGAAGTACTAAGTCTTGATTAAATAAAGTAAGCAAAAATTGCATGCATTTTTAACGATTCAAGGTTGTTAGAAACATTAATGCTGGTAAAATTCTTATGCTGCCAATACTAACTGACTGTTCACCCAAATGATTTATGGGGAAAAGGAGTTGTGCTGCTAACCCAAAGGCAGGCAGTTCAAATCCACCAGCTCTGCTGAGGGGGAAAGATGGGCAATAAACTCCCATGAGATTTACAGCTTCAGAAAACCTGCTAGCGGATCAGCTACGGGTTGTTTTCTTGATAATCTATGCACTGACTTTCAAGAGCCTAATGATTTATCTCTTAATGTGGTGACATAAATTTTTATGGTCATTTACAACAGTTGAACCACAGAGTTGTGGTGTAAGTGCAGAAATCTTGATGTCAGCAGTTCCTACTTTAGAATACTGCTGCTTGTACTACGTCTCCTTCTGCAGTGTGCTCAACAGGCAAAGACCAGGAGAGTGGAGGGCGAGCACCTGCCTCACAATGGGACAACATCACCCGGGTCACAGGCTGCTGTCAACAGGCCTTCTTGTGACACACCACTTGTTCACTATCCTGTTCCTCAAACGAATTTTCCCTTTTGTGCTGGGACCACTTCATTCCACAGAACTGTTCTTTTTAAAAGAGGAGATGTCTGCCACCAAACTACATGTATAAATAAAACAATGTAATTCTGAATTCCAAAGTGAAGATACATGGAGACAAATGGAAAAATCTTCACGGGCGGAAGGAGAGGTGGGCAAAGGAATGGGGAAAGATCTGGTGTGAAAAACAATGTATACGAACTTCATCAGTAAACCAGTAAAAAACAAAACAACCAACAAAACAAAACAAACCACCAACCAAACAAAAACCCAGTTAGTGTCCATTTTCAATGATAAAGACATTCCTAACTACCAAGGTCCATGAACCGACTCACTTCAGCTGTTTGAACCCAGCCTCACCAAAACGTGTTCATGGAACTCCAGAAAGCAAAGCTGATCTCTAGCTCATCTTCTCTCTCATCTACGTGTGACTGATCCCGGTAGGGATCCAATAAACAGCATCAATCTTAGAGCAAAAGAAGGAAGGGATATACAAAATACGAAACCAGACAGCATGTTTATGAGTGATCCTTTGACTGGAGTGACAAATCGCAGTGCGTACATTATGAGACAGTGATGGCAGGAAGGACCCTGAAAATGAGTCTGTACCGCCTGATTGAGAGGAAGTCTGGAAGCATATAAAAAATTTAGTGTACTGGGGGTGGATGGAGGGCTGGGCAGGGAGAAAAGTGCAACAATAAATGAACGGAAATCCAAAGTCTCTGTAAATTTTCATTAATACGGATAATAATAATAGTAATAATAAGTTAATAAAAAAAGAAAAACAAGTAACTCATGAAATATTATACAAAATGGGTGACCCTGGAGGGAAAAAAAATAGTGTCAAAACACAACCATAAACAAAGAAAAGAAAGTGAACTGGGGAAGAGAGAAGGGAGTGTGAGGGGGGAAATGTGCAACAATGAATGAATGAAAATATAACTTCTCTGTAAATGTTCATTAAAGTCACAATTGAAATATAAAATTTTATTAAAAAAAAGAAAAAGCAAACACCAAAAACTCCACAACCATATTCAGGCCACTGGAACTATTCCACCATTTACCTTGCAGGACACCCACTCACCACTTCATTGCCAGGTATTTGTTTTTCGAGTTTTATTTGATTATTTAATTTTTAAAAATATTGTGTGGCTGAGAGTTTTGAGGATTATCTTGACTCTTGCTTCATTATTCTCTCTGAAGGTTCTTGAAGTCCTAAAAGTATCGTGTATGACTGACTACTGTTTTCTGAGGCCATCCATCTGTGCAATCCCATAAATGCACCTGGAACAAGCTGTATGCCTGACTCTATTTTGTTGGTTTCAGGTACCCGGAAGTAGACCATGATTCACAGTGACCCTATGCATAACAGAAAACGTGCCCTATCTTGTATCATCTTCATAATGTCTGCCATGCTCAAGCCCATTCCTGCCGGCACCATGTCAGCCCACTGTGTTGAGGGTCTTCCTAGAATCTTGCAATATTACTAGCAGACTCACTCCTAGAGCCTACATACTAGTAAAGAAAAGCCAAAAACAAATAAACACAATAACGGACTCATATGTTATGGAGAGGGGTGCTATGAGTTGGGATGGAGTCAATGGCCCAGGACAACACATGGTACATAATAAATGGCCGATGTTGACGGATAAGCCTGGACTGAGAACCAAAAGGCTAATTATTCAACTTCACCCAGAAGTGCCTCTTAAGAAAAGCCTGAAAACAAGTCCTGTTGGCAGAGGAGGCTAAATGTTGAGTTGCTAACTGAAAGATCAATGGTTTGAATCCATCTATTGAATTCTCAGGAGAAAGTTGGGCAGCCTCCTCCCATAGAGATCCCTCCTCCCCCAAAAGCTGATGATGGAGGGTCACCATGCATCAGAGCCAACTTGATGTCAATGCCTTATCATTGAAAGGAAGAAATCTCTGCTACTTTTTACACTGTACAGTATTGATTATTGTGCATTATAGTTGTTTTATTTTATTCTAGAAAAAAACATCTTTTTACTGAGAGTAAAACAAAGTTTTATCCATCTTGTTATGCATCAGAGAGTTGGACAATGACCAAGGAGGATAGAAGAAGAATTGATGCCTTTGAGCAGTGGTGCTGGAGAAGAGTCTTGAGAATACCATGGACTGCTAGGAGAACAAACAAAAGGGTTAAACTGGGTGGCTCCTTGGAGGAAAGGATTCTGAGGCTCTGTCTAACATACTTTGGACATGTTGTGAGGAGAGACTGGTCCTTGGAGAAGGACATCATGCTTGGGAGGGTGGAGGGACAACGCAGAGGGAAGGCCCTCTATGAGGTGGATTGATTCAGTGACTGGGATAATCAGGATGGGAGTGTCAGAGACAGTGCGATTAGCACAAGACAGAGCAGAGTTTAGGGCTGTTGTACATCGGGTCGCTGTGATTCGCAAGCGACTCGATGGCACATAATAACAACAAAACAAAGTTAGCAAGAGACCTGAGAGGGGATTGTGAATAATATACCTATAGAATATAAGGTTTATAGTATGTATGTTGTTATGTGTTGTCAAGCGGAACTGACTCACAGCTGGCCCTACAATGGGTTTTCAGAGGCAGTAAATCACACAGAAGAGACCGCCATCTTTCTTTCTTGGAATAGCTGGTGGGTTAGAACTGCATACGTTAGGTGTTATAGGGCAGCTTCTTACCACTAGGCCATTCAGGCTCCCTACAATAAGTATGTTGTTTTCATATGCCGTCAAGTTGCCTGTGGTTCATACTTGAACTCTGCTCTATCCTGAGCCAATCTCACTGTCTCTGAGACACCTACTCTCCTTATCCCAGTTACTGTGTCAATCCATCTCATCAAGGGCCTTCCCCTCCTGTACTGTCCCTCCACCCTTCCAAGCAGGATGTCCCTCTGCAAGGACTGGCCCCTCCTGGCAACGTGCCCAAAGTATGTGAGGTGGAGCTTCAAAACCCTGGGCTCCAAGGAGCAGACTGGTATAGGATATCCTATTTTCACCTCAAATATATTTTCATATTTACCTTAGCAAAGAACTTACACTAGCCTAGTTGACATAAAGAAAAACTTGCCTTCAAGTTTTTCTACTAGTTTATAACTGAATCCTAATACTACTGCTATATTACAGGACAATTTGCATGCATTCGCATCCACAACCTGATGGCCTGGCAAATTGTTCTGTTAAAGCAAAGACTAATGTAATCACTTCAAGAGACCTGACACTGCTTTAAATTCTAAAAGTTAGCCCAAGTTTGCACAAAGGTCAGTGAAAATGACTGTGCAGCCCGGTTTGCGCAGTCAGTTACGTGGGGAGTGGGCCACTCACCTCCAAGGTGAAGGACAGCACTACGTCGGACTTGGACAGCTGAAGCTCCGTCTCATCACCCATGTCCAGAAATGCGGAGTTCTGTGAGCGTTTCAGTTTTTGCAGTTTAAACTCAGGCCCACCTTTCGAAACCGGAAGACTTTCCAAATTGGCCATGAGCAAATTCACTGACGATCGTAACTCTTCTATAAACATATTCTCCATGTCTTTTGCTATAAACTTGGGGAATTTTCTTTCCTTAAAAAGAAATTTCAAAATACCAGTGTGAACAACAAGGTCATATTTTCATCGTCATCCTAAAAGACTGAGCAAGATGAATATACTTAAATGTCTTATAAATTGTGACAATTTCAATAGAATATGGTTAGGTGCCTTTGGGTCATTTCAGATTCATTCCAGTGACCCCACCTGCATACAAGAGAAGGAACTATCACCTGGTCCTGTACCATTCTCACAATTATTGCTGTTTGAATGCTGTCACAGCCACTTGGAATATGTTCCCAGAAGGTGTCAGTTCCCCTGAGAGGGACATCGTTCTTGGCAAAGTAGTTGTAGTTATGAACCATCAAGTCAAATTCAACGCTGATGTTCAGCTGCTTTTCAGAGGCTGTAAATCACATGGCAGGAGACCGCCCATCTCTATCTTTCAGGGCAGCTGGTAGATTCAAGCTACATGCTTTTGGGTTGGCAGTGCAACGCCTTACCACTAAGCCATCTGAGTTCAGCAGAGGGTCAGGGACAAAGAGGAAAACTCTCAAGGAGAGAGAGTGACACAGGGGCTACAATATTCTATAATTAGAAAACTCTACTGGTCTACTCTGTAAAGTGTGGTATTGTTAGTCTTCAGGTAAGTGGTTTGAATCCACCAGCTTGACTGAGGGAAAAAGATGGGCAATCTCCTCTGGTGTGATTTACAGCCTCTGAGAAAAACACTGGAGGGTCAGCTGTGACTCAGTTCTGATTGGGCTGCAATGAACTGAATTTCAGTAATTTAGTGTTTAGGTTTTATGAAAGGGTGCTTACCAGCTCCATACCCGAAGGCCACCAGAGTTTCCAAAAAAAAAAAGATTACAAATATTAACACTTAGGCTGATAGCCAGGTAATTCCAATTTGCCCTTAGAGAAGCATCTACCAACTATTCCCACAAGTAGCAAAGCAGTGGATTCCCTTATTTTGCTGCTTCTGTTCATTTCTGCCAACCTGGCATTTGCTTTCCTTCCCTCCTCCCTCTTAAACAAAGAATGTATGAAGTTTCATGATTCCAAAAGAGCAGTTAACTGTACAAAACTGGATGGTGCCAAAAATCCAAAGCGGCCATCTTTCCATTCCCTAATAATGTGCCAGGAAACCAGAGTCTTTCCTGTGGTCCCCCCAGAATCATTCAAAGGCTAACCCTAGAAGCCCACTCCCCTGGAATGACTGGACACCTCCAGGGGCACCTGTCCACCTGCACTTCTCCGGCCGGCTGGCACCAGCTCCTTCATGGGCTGGAAAGGAACAGCTGGCCCCACTTCATCAGCTGGTCCCCAAGTCCCCGGCCACCTGTGTGTCTCTTCCTCCAATATAATCTTCATATGCTTCTCACCACATAATTTACTTATAATCAATATTAAAATTACACATTCTTGATCACAGAGGTAGTCCATACGGTGCCTATATTAATTATTAAACTTTCACAAGGAAGGGTTTTAGTTTTCCTTTAAATATTCTGTGTTACTTAAGTTAACATTCCAAATCATTACAGCGTTACTTCCTCAAGGAAAACATATAGTGCTGGATGTAAGTGGTTAAAGCACTTGGCTTCTAAGCAAAAGGCTGGTGTGATCTTAGCAAGGAGACTCCGATGAAAGGCCCTCAGATGGCCCACTTCCGAACAGCCAGTCACTGCAGCGCAGTTCTCCTCACTTATAGGATCATCCTCAGTCAGAAGTGAGGCTGCAACTCAGCTAGAGAAGAGAGGGGTGCAGTGTGGTGGTGTCGTCTCTGGTGCTGTGGTCTGTAGTGCACTGCACTGCTTAACTCACGGGCAGCACCCCTCCACGGGCTGCACCCCCCACGGGCAGCACCACTCTGTAAGTCTGAATCCACTGGTGATTCTGTGGGGAAAAGATGGGCAGTCTCCTCACATGCCCCTCACTGCCTCTGAAAATCTGCTAGTGGGTCAACTCCGCACGGGTTCCGACTCAAGGACAATGAGTGAATTTTCAAACTGAAGAGAACACTTGGTTTATTTAAATAAACACACAAACTCTACCACACGTACACCCCCAAAATTGAATGTGCATATATGTGTTCATATACACACAGTTCTAAAATGCCTCTGAGATTAAAAAGGTGAGGTAAGCCATAAAAAAGCACCCACATAAAAGCACATACTCACAAAATCTCTAAAAAAGGAAGAAACAAGGCTAAAAATGTGAGAAAGGCAGGTCTTTTCTGTGAGGTGGCCTCCAAGATTGGCTGGGAGAGACTTTTTATCTTATGGTACTTTCAAACTCTTCAGGACCGAGATTATATTCAGAATCATTTTTCTTTCTTTTTTCTGTAATGGTCACAACCTGTTGTGTAGCTTTGAGGTTTACTAACAGTATCTTATTAACTTTTTTTAGACTCTGTTGTCACGTTAAAACAATAAAATTAAGCGAACATCAGACATGTGCACATATCAGATTTAATTTTGGAAATTAAAATGGACCTAGAGATAGGACTAATCTCAAGTTATTTCACTGTGAGGACTTCCTTCTATGAACCAAGCCTTAGATATGTATCAGAGTTTATAACTAGCTCTAACACAGTAAATTATACAGGAACCACAATGTGTTTTGTAAAATATTTCTCATTAATAATACTTAATAAGTCAACTTTTTCACTAGATGAAGCTGGGTTCAGATCACTGGATGGCTTCTTGAGTGCTTTAACCAGATAGTAATCTCTGTTCTTCAAGACTATGCTAAGTTTCCATCTCAGGGTCATGGTGCCAAGTGAAGTATTGGTAAGAAAGTTGATCAGATCTTCATCATTTACCATTTTCTTAAAACGTCTCACCTTGACTGAAAATTGGAACCACTGTTCCTTCTCTCCCACATTTCTGATTCTGCCTTTCTTTCCTAGTCTCATTTCTAAACAATTCTTGTTGGTTTCTTCCATTTAAAGATAAATAGATAACCACATAAGGTCGCTATGAATCGCAGGCAATTCAACGGCATGTAACAACGACAACAACAATGGCACAGTGGTTAAGTGTTCGAATGCTAACTGAAAGTTAAACAGGTGAACCCAGCAGTCATGTGACAAGAGAAAGGTGTCAAAGGCAGCTCCTTGAAAGACTGCAGCCTTGCAAACGCCACAGGGTGGATCCACTGTAACCCACAGAGTTGAAATTTACAGTGGCAACAAATCTGTAACATAATAATTTTGATTCATTATAATCAGGCTTATAAATATTTTAATGATTTCATGAAAATGCCTCATCTTTGGCAAATTTCAAGTAGAAAATAATCAAACCTGCTTTACTTGCTATGCCAGTATATTTGCAATGAGAGGTCCAATTTCTGGTGGTATTTTTTCTTCTTCTTCCGTTCAACCTACAGGTTTCACTTTCTTCTCCGTATTTTGCCTAGTTCATCAGTATTTCTGACAAAATCGCCATGTTTGCCAAAGGAGGAGTCTCTGTGTCCATCACTGGCCTCTTCCTCTTGGCTCCAAGGCCATGAATAAGCATCTCCTCCTACAGGACTCCACAGTATCATCCTTTGTCTTCCTTCACTGGAGATTCCTCCTCAGCTGTCCCTGCTACAGTTTTCACAATTTATCACCATCCCTGTTAACTCAATGTATAGGTTCCTGCAACCCCTTTACCTCTATTTTTAAGCTTATTAAGTATTCAGGCACAGCACTGGTATTCTTGACGTTTACTTCATATATATTTTATAAGTACAAATTTTCTCTATAGAAATGTGATCATATATACATGTTAACATCCATCTGTCAAAGTCACAGTGAGGAATCCCTCTCAAGTTTGGCAACATTGTGTCTTGATTTGGGAGGTGGTTGCCTGGGTATAAGACAAACTCAAAACCCCAATGGCTGTAAAGATCTGTGCATTTTATATAGATTATACACAACTAAAAAGATTAAAAGTAACCCCCACATAGGGAGAAGGAAAAGATCTATACACAAAATATTGAAAGTTACTGCTCAGCCAAACGAAAGGTTGAAAAAAATTCTTATTCTCAGAATAATGAACACTATAAGTACAATTCTACTGAGAAGGCCACACTTTTTTATCAACGCAGCAAATTAATCTATCACTTCACTAAAGAATGATAAAGAATAATTAAGCTCCAGCAAGAAGTTGCGCTGCAATCCCAAAGGTAAGAGATTCGAGTCTACCAGCTGCTCTGTGGGGGGATGGGCAATCTCCTCCCATTCTTTCTTCCTCCGCATGAGTTCCTTGTTTTTCAATACTATGCTGCATTGAAAAACAAGGGACTCATGCAATATTATTCAAAATGGGTGACCCTGGAGGACATTATGCTGAGTGAGGTATCTCAGTCACAAAGGGACAAATGCTATATGGTGCCACTGTTGTAGAATGAGGCTGGCATTGGGGTGGGGGTAAGACTGAGAAAAACTGGATGAAATATGTTTACAGCACTGAAGTCTATGGGGGAGAGAAAAGTTTAAAATAAAACCTGCTGGGTCAGTTCCAATTCCATGGTACACAACAACAACAACAATCTCTAAAGCACCTTAAATTTTACAAAGAAGCTCCTGGTTGGTCTGAAATAAATTGTACTCATAGAAACATAGTGACCAAGCAAATAAAAATATTACTGCATTGCACACATAAAAACAACTATGCTACTGCATTGAACAAAGTCTGTTTCCCAGACTAGGTACTAGGTATTCTAGGTATTTCAAACTGAATGTTTCCTTCAGTCACTGAATCATCCATTCATATGCTAATTTTATTCCACCATGTGCCAGCACCAGGGTGAGTATTCTGGAATATATTAAGGGATTTGGAAAGGAAGAGAATTGTCTTTAAGATGATCTTTGCTCAATGAAAAAAATTCCTGTCACTGTGAAGTCTGAGAAATTCAGGTATTGTTTTAAAGAAAGAAACGCTACAGATTTTATAAATGACTATAGATATTTTATACACATGAATACTACTAGTACTACTACTACTGCTGCTTCTGATGGTGGTGGTGGTGATACTGCGGCCGGATTTGACTTACAGCCACTGGGTTTCTGAGGATGCATAACACAACAGAAGAGACTGTGCATCTCTCTTCCACAGAGCGGTTTGCGGATTTGAGAACTCAGGGACGCGAGCTCTCTGGATTAGTCGTGTAACCTGTGGACTTGCCACCAGAGCTCCCCACTCACGTGAATACTTAGTTGTTAGAGACGTGGAACTGATGCTTAGCTGATCTTCCAGAGGGTTTTCAGAGGCTGTACCTCTCGTGGAAGGACACTGCCGATCCTTCTCCTGTGGAAGGTTCACCAGGAGTGGATTCCAATCGCCATAGTGAAATCACCATGAAATAGCAGTGCGGCTCCCTGGGGATTCTAGCACTAGAGCTCCAGAGACACAACAGTGAAGCATTCTATGGACTACTCCGCTCCATTTGGGTGCTATGCACTCAGATACTTGAGAATGAGTGGCAGACATTTAAAACAGAAATTATACTGGTTTTCTTAACCTGTAAGAAAGACCTAGTCTTTCTATCCACAAAGTCGATAGAAAGACAGAAATGCAGCGTAGCGTGTCAAAGTCAATAGTTTACCTTTGCCATTTTCTCCGCCAGCTGCAGCCGACCGTCCAGCTCCCTTCTGATCTGGGCTGCTTGTTCATCGGCATTGTCCAGCTTGAAAAGGAAACAAAAACGACCCAGATGTGATTACGTCATGCAATAATGTACAGGTGTCGGCAAGGTAACGCGACTCCAAAAATCTCACTAAACTCACCAGACTACCTACAGAGAATGTTGCTGTTGTTGTTATGTGCCGTCGAGTCGCCTGTAGAACACAGGATTTAGTTTAAGTAGACTGGTCGCCCCACTGAATTCTTTGGATATTTTTCATTGCGGTTTCCCCTCTCTCCATCCAAAACAAAGCACCTTTCTTTAATCAACCACTTTGGTTCAATGGCTCGCTTTACCAAAAAATTAAATTACAATAACTCTTTGCCTTACCTGTCTTCATCAGGGATTCTAGGCCATGAAGTTGTTGTTTCCTTGAGGTTACATTGTTTTTGTTGTTGCTACATAACATCAGTGAATACCACTATCATTCAGATATATGCCCCAACAACCGGAGATAAGGAAGAGGAGACAGAAGATTTTTACCAACTTTTATAAT